AAGTCTCAATTAAGTGAAAAGGATAAAGAAATATCAATATGTATGAGTGATATATGCATAGTGAAGATAAAACGGGTCTGAGAAATTAATTTAAATGTAACACAAGTTATTGTCTTGAACATAAACTTCGTAATCTTAAGGATAACATTTATTTACAAAAAAAGAGGAAAGAAGTGGACATCTAGTAAAAGGGTTCAACTATGATAATAATAATTGTATAATGAAAATCGACCTCTGAAGTAAACGACGATTTAGAAAAATAAAATAAATCCTTGAGTGCACTCGGATAAATACATGTAGTTGTAATACATGTAATACATGTGGTTGTAATAAGAACTAGCGAATTGTCAGCCTTTATATTATGAGCATCACAATGTATATGTATGTTGATAAAAAAGAAGGACTGATCAATTCGTTTGTATATTTAATTTATTCATAAAAGTCTAAGGAGCGTGTAGATTTATCGACTTAGTCGGTACTAATTGTATTTATCGTTGCCACTGGAATAACACACCTAATCCCAAAATTGTAGAGTTTTCATGATGTCAATACCTAATATCTAAGATCTTACATAAAATTCACATTATTGCCTATAGTGAATCGTTCTACGTGACAGTCGGCAATATACTGTCCAGGGCTCTTTAAGAACACATTTGGTCTGGGAAGAGAACAATATGTATAACGTGAAGTGCAAGAGATTACATAGGTGACCTTACATGCATGGCCGAACAATGGTGGTGTAATTGTATTGATTTGTAGCCGTATGATCGTTGAAGTCGACCAAATAATTAATCAAAAGATTTACATTTCATATGGAACACTTGGGGAAGGTTAGAGACGATGAACGCCGGAACGGTCGATCAAAATGGTATGGCTCTGTCGTGGAGGTGTAGTCGCTATATGTAACCTCTTGCTTTTTGTATCAAGTACATCACACTCTTCTCATCCAAATGTCTTCTTCAGATGTGCTAGACATCATATTGCCAAATGTCACGATGGGACGAGTTAGTGATATAACTTATGATATATTTTACACGTAAGATCTTGCAAATTAGATCGTCACGCCATGACCAATCTACAATTTTAGATTAGGTCTCTTATCATAGTAACAAAGATAAACGTACTGAAATGGAACTAGACCATAGATAGACGGAGTTTCAAGTAAGCATTCCTGCGCTCAACATTTCCGACCTTCTCAAAATGTTAGATATTGAACGTAAATCTCCTCAGCTATCGTTCGTCTGACTTCAAAGACCGTGTGATCTAGAACCAATATCATTATACATACTATAGAAGACAGATTACTGCACGTTGAATGATATGTTGAACTGAATCAATTCATTGCTGGTTGACGTCAGTTCATCGTTCAGTAACATTGTTCGAATACGTGCAACAGTGTAGTCTCAGTCTGTGTACATCAAATTTGGTTAGTATGTTCTACTTAATAATTGATTTTATTGATAGGGTCCCATATGTTCCATTACAGTACTAAGAAAAGAGAATAACGCAGCCACACAATTTTTCCATCGTGAGACCTTAGCTTGAGAATAAGCATTTTAAGCAGCCATATTTTTCTGTCCAATTTCAATAAATTCGAGCGAAAAAATATAAGTAATTGAACAACAATGATCACGATTACTGAAACACTTCATTTGTGGTGAAAGCCTGAGCCACCTAAACCCTCTTGTCTAATCTAGTATAGGTATTGTCATAAAAGATAAATGCGTGACCTGAGATTGACGGTGTTCTTCTAATCGTGACTGAGACTGGATATCTCATAAGAAATTAGGCGATAAACTCATCCTAAGATCCAAACCAAGTATGATAAACTATCAACCTCTTTTGGTCATGTCTATAGAAAGTAACTGTCTTATTTGTACATTTGTACGGATGAAGAACAATTCTCACACTTCCTATTCTGCATAAATAATAGTCCGTTGATCTGACTCCAGTTTGATTGTATGATGATACTAGTGAAACCTATATGCCACCAACCCTCTTATACAATCGACTTAGTTCGTGTCAGATAATAATGGAGTAAAATAAGTCAAATGTGAGAATGAATTTTGAAAAGGTATGTTTCATACACTTGTTGGTCCAGACTGGAAATATGAGGAATGAGGCGGAGAAGCAGACCGGAGAATGTACACATGCCAAATCTCCATGTTATTCATTACAAGCGTTAATACAGCATAAAGTAGATAGTGTATAGTATGATGAAGAGACAGGAATTAGGTAAAATAGGGAATGACAGATAAATATATGTGAGTACACACATGGCCCGTAAGCGAAGAAGTCCAAGATCGTGAAAATAAGACATATATGTGAGCTAAAACCCGCGTTATCCTACGGAAACAATAGTTATCATTAAAATGAATACAACCCAGTGCAACATGCTGTGTGAGTTATTAAGGTCTGTACAATGGCTAGAACGAATCCTGTAGTTGAGTATTGGTAATGGACATTATGAGACTATAAAGTTGTTCAGCAAGAAAGACATATCTAGCTACTCAGACTCAGTCAAATAATTACCTACAGACATTGTAGAATAATAGTCTGGTTAAGTATTAGTACCATTCTAATAATAGACCTAATCATAAAATTGTAGATTTGTCACGATGCAATTGCCTAATCTATGAGATCTTACGTGGACATCTCATCATTTCCTACATTAACTCGTCATATCGTTATAATCAGTAATATAACGTCTAGCACTTTTGAAGAACACATTTGGGCTCAAGATAGAATAGTATATTTAATGTGGTGAAAGATAAGTTATACAGAATGACTGAGGCTGAGCCATGCCACCCGATCGAATGAATGTTCCCGCATCCTTCGTTGTTTAACTTCCTTCTGTGTTACGTTTTGGATATAAATGGTATGCTCGGCTTCAGAGATCGTGTAGTTAGGAACCAATGCCACTACGACATCCGCCCTGATGAACGATAAGTCGTAGGAATTCTATTCTGTGAATTCAATCCATCTGCATTTACAAATTTGCAGAAAGTCTAGTGGAAAGTTCTAAGGAAATTGTCAGGCTTATCCTGCCTTCTATTCTCTACTAGTGTTCAGTTGTCGAGGGTAAACCACATGTTTTCAGTAGAAAAATTTCGTAGTCACATCCACACATGATGTGTATAACATGTAGAAAGCTTCCGATCACAGTTTAATTAATGCAAACCGTCTGACTGTCTGGAACAACTGGAGACTATCAAGGGATCATAACCATCAGATTCATGTATATCTCTTACGTTTCCTAAGGAATTCTGTAGGTTTTTTATTGAATTTTCTCAGGGTAATGTTAGTGAGCTAAACATTATCAGGTACGGGACTGCTGTAAGGAAATAAGACAAGTTACCAGAGCTCACGTTGGGCTCACCAGATTTGTGGTGGGTCCCGGTAAAAGAGCTTATTAAAGATAAAACAATACGCAAGGTTACCAATTATATACCAAAAGGAATTAACTTTACAAACGTAGGTTTGAGAGACTAAAGGGTTTTGTTAACATACCTAGGTTTCTGCCTGGAGGATTTGGTGATCCCCTGCTACTAGACACGGAAGCCTGTTAAGCGAAAGCTTCTTCTATTCCGTCCACAACCATTTGAACCATTTGAACCATTTATAACTGCCTGATCTATAAAATCTTACGTGGAAGTCACATCATCGTCTACACCAACTGATTGCATCACAACAATTACCAATACATGATGGAGAACAAGCTTAGGCTAGAGATAGGACAATATATTTAATATGTTTAAAAGATAAGATAACAGGGGCCACGCCTGCATTGCCGAGCCATGCCATTCGATCAACTCCGACTCATTCCATTCCTTATTCGCGCCTTCTCCATCGTTAGGTATTTCTCTGCGTTAAATATTGAATATCTATTTTCCGAGTAATTTCGTATTCAGCTTTGAGGATTGTGTAGTTATGGTCCAATGCCACTACAGATCCACTCTTGGTTGTCTCTTAAGAGCGTAATCTAGGATCACTAATCCCCAAGAGCTTGAGTATCAGCTCAAACGACGTCAAGAATGCATTCAACGCAAATGCAATTCTTCGCTCCGTATCAACAGGTAATCGCCTCTGAATTGTTTTTGGCACTGTTTAAAGAGTGATCGTGGCCACAAATCGAAGTCCAAAACGTTTCTGGGCCCCCTGTCTTTAAAAGAGGCATAAATCTCAGACCAAGTGTAGAGACGAGTAGATAAGTAGATGATGGGGTTTAAAAAATATTACGAACACAGACTTCGGTACATGAGATTATTCTTGCTGTTCTGTAGAAAAATAAGATGGGGTCCGATGGTGGCACATAGTATACTAAGTTTCCAAGTCATCTCAATACAAACATTCTACCAGAATACTAGCGCTACACTACTCCAGGCAGCCCCCGAAGAAATGCAAATCAAAGTGTCACTATCCTAAAAGCCTCCCGCTTTCATCATTACGAGTTGTCTGAACTCCGAATGTTTTCCCAAACAAAGTGGCTACAGCCCTCTAGTGGATAGCTTCAAGAAGAGACTTGATAAACACACACTCACTAGGGATTGATATTTTCCGCTTGGAACAGCTATGCTTGATACCTGTTATCGCTATCACATATGGTTAGCTCCCCACTACCTTGTTTCTTATCATGTCCATTTTCCATTTTAACTTTACATTTTGGTTCAAGCCCATTGTTTACATTACTAATTAATTGACTTGTTTTTTTACTCTTCAAATGGCCGTTTTCTCTTAGTTTGCGAATTTTCTCTTCATTATTTCTCACACCCCAACCAATCAACCTTCTCCCTGAAAATATAATAGCTGCTAGTATGTAGAATTCCAACTGTCATGAAAAAACACGCACTCAAATCACATGATATACAAACTCACAAGTAACTAATGCCAAAATGGCTAAAACCAGTTCGATCAGGAGTTTAAACTATATCCGGTTGGATGTTACCGAATACCAGGGACCGTAATGAAATAACAAAACGCTAGAGCATGGAAGTCAGTCTGTTTAAACAAGCTCGCTACAACTATAATGGACATTATATCTCTCCAAAAGAAAGCAATGCATGTGCCTTAGTTTCGGTGGAAATTAGAGCGCCGTTTCATCGCTCAAACGAGTCTATCGAGGAACTAACTGTTCATAATACGAGTCCAGTGATTTGTGATGTTTGTAGTTTTAAAGTTTGAATGTCTCAATACTCAGGGTCATCAGTGTGCCGCTAAGTGATGCTTGTTCTTTTGTCTTGTTAATGGAGTGTATGCTTTTGCTGTGTCCTGCAGCTAATCAGTCAGATTGTCGGCCTTGTAGCCCACTCTCCAAGGAACACCAGAAAAACTGGAACAAATATATTGACTTATTGCTGTCGAATTGGGAAGACAAGCTTCACCTTCCTACCTATTATCGCGAATTGAAAACACACCCATTTTGTTGTACTCCAGGTCCAGGTTATTCATGTCGTCTAAATCTTATTCACGAACCTCGCAAAGAACCTCGGCAGTTCTATGATCTCACGTAAGTTCGCTAAATGTTGATTATTCCACAGGTGTGCGAAAGATGACTTCTTTACTCCCATTAAGTGTCAGCAAGACAATGACATTAGATGTTGTTCTGAAAAGCATTGTAATGTTCCTTCTTCGGAGGAACTCATGCTGCTTGTCAAGGACAATCCTTCGAACTTATATCTTGTCGCTATATCTTTATTAACCATACTATGCATCATCCTTTGTATTGTATCAGGGACTTTCTACTTCCTCTTGAGAAGAAAATCAGGTGAGTTACTTTTTCCTAACATAGATATAGCTGATGTTCAGTATCCTAACTTGCATTCCTCATTACTGACATTTTCCCGTTTTATTAAGCTGATTTGGCTTTCTTAAGAGTAATTAATTTGGAAATGTCTATACGGTAATAATATTGATACTGCGTCAATAGTTTTCGTGTTCCCTAAAGGGTTTTAAAAAGTTCACTTGTTATGTATTGTTTACGAAACAAACTGCTGGTACAGTAGCTCGTTATGACAAAAAATTACTACTGATTAGAATTAAAACAAGAAGGTGACCAACAACTGGTTGGTACGCCATTTGTTCCCTCAGGATACTGGATCCTATGTGCACGATTGGTTTGGAATCAGGGTTTTCCGATTCTCCTAGGTGAACTCTCCGTATCCACCAACCCTGTCTAAGGAGCGGATATTCGTTTTTCGTTCTCTCAACTCCGTAAACAACAACGTCGCCAAGAGAGGACAGTGAGTAGGACTTCCCTGGTAGAGGCTATATACGCATGGCCATGTGAAAGCATTTCGAGAGGAAAAGCGAACTCTCCCCACTCTCGACGTACCAGGGCATTCGGGAGCAAAGCCTGGAAACACGGCGGCCATTTCGTAATATTGTAGGGTTCCTCAGCAGTGCGTATCCACGATCTCGCCTCGCGAGATTCTAACCAAGGACCTATCAGTTTCGCGCGCGAAAGCTTAACCGCTAGACCACTGAGCCGGCCAAGAGTATGCATATGACCCATTCAAGGTTTAAATTGAATGTATATTGTAGTAGCTACCCGACTTTAATATGAGCAAATAATATCTGACCAAGTAACTTACTCAATTGTCCTAAAATCATCACTAAAATAGAAATTACAAATTATTATCTATAATCAAAAATAAAGTCTCTTTGTAAATTATCTTATTCCAATGTTCACAAAGCGATTCTTACTTTTCTGATGAAAAATTGCCACTTCATTATCAATGCAGTTTGTATTTAATGTAGTTTGCACAATTTTTCTCAGTATTAACTTTCTAGTCGTTTTTTCACTATTTTAAAATATAATTTGTCAGCTTCCCATATAAACTGTTTGCTTGCACAAAATTCATAGCGTTAAAGGCTGTATTTGCTGGAAACATAGTCACGAATCTGCTACACTAAACTTCTTTTTCAGAGGCTGATTCCATTTTTAGGCGAATGTTTTCTCATATGACATTTATCTTTGTAAATACCTGTTTTTTTCGTGTCAGTAATTATAACCAACTCATCAAAATCGTTGTTCTCTTCTATGATTGTGCAAACTAAGTAGCCCGGCAAAAACAGATCACTTCTCAGAATGGTATTACATCTGATCATCTATGGACATCAGATAATATTGATAACCAATACTTAAAGGGACCTGTGCAAGTACCAGACGCTTTAACTGTAAATAATACTTGTCCTGAAAATGCAAGAGTATTTTCCAATGATCCTTCTGCTGTTTCTGCCGGAATAACTAGTCGTGGCGCTAGTAGTTTGAGCCATTTTGGCAGTAGCGCTTTGGGAGCCACTCCTGGAAATATTAATTCATGTTCGAATTCCCCTACTGGGGCTATGACCATCACTAGTTCGGGATCAAATTCCGCCATGCCTACAACAGGTACTATTCCTGCAGATTTGATGGACCACACCTGCAGTGGATCAGGTTCCGGAAAACCTTTACTGGTTCAGCGAACAGTCGCTAGGCAAGTTCAGTTGGAAGAACGTATCGGTGAAGGTCGTTATGGTGTTGTATGGCGAGGTGTTTGGCAAGGTGATCTAGTAGCAGCTAAAATCTTTTCTAGTCGGGATGAACGCTCCTGGTTCCGGTAAGTTTGTATTTCATTTGATTGCAATATTGATTATATCTATATGACTTCATCATAGACCGACTGCTGGAACTAACGTTCTCGTCGACTGAATTTTCAGGAATCGATCTTCCAGGAGGTCCACCTATCGACTTAGAATACGCAGATAATATACTCCTGTTTAGTGAAAACGCTGATAAAATGCAGAGCCTTTTAGTGGCACTGAGCAACAATGCAAGGATGTTTGAGATCCGTTTCTCCCACTCTAAATGTAAATTGTTGCTTCCGGAGTGGACTGCATCATGCCTGAACTAAGGATAGGGAGTGAAGTAGTCGAACGCGTCGATAACTTCACTTATCAGCCCTAATGGGTTGGTGTCTGAGGAAATCTCAGCACGGATTTAGAAAGCTCGCTTGGCTTTTGCTAACGGCGTGATATCCGTCTATCAATTAAGGGACAAGTATGCTGCGTAGCAGTTCGTTTTGTTTTACTTTACGGCTGCGAAACGTGGCCATTAAGGGTAGAGGATACTCGTAAGCTACTAGTATTTAATCACAGATATCTTAGAAATATTGCCAGTATCTGCTGGGGTTACCGGGTAAATAATGATGGGGTTAGACGAAGGGTTTTAAGGAATGGTGGTAAATTAGTTGGTGAGGTTGTAAATATACACCGGCTGAGATGTTTGGGTCACGTATCACGCATGCCCAATCACCGATCACCACGACGCTCAATGCTGACTAGTGTTGGAGACGATTGGAAGGAAGTTAGGGGCGGTCAAGCCAAAAACGTGGCATCAGTGCTTGAAGTCGCTAACTTTCAGTCTTAGTCATGTTGGTAGATGCAGACTACTTGGTTGGGGTCCGCGTGACTATCGTAACCAATGGTTGAAGACTCTGAGTGACATGGCTTGGAATCGATCACAATGGCGTCGGTGTATACACTTTGTCTTCCTTTAAACTATGAGATTCAGTCAGTCAGTAACAACGTAGAACTTCGTACGTACGTACATCAGTTCGAGTTGCCACACCACATTGGCACAGAGATGCAGTGGTCGATTCAAATCCCGTAGTGGTAGAGGTAGTAAGAGTATAAGAAGTAATCGGAAAGATTAGGGCTTGAAGATGTTATTCAAGGAGTATAATCTAGTGAAATAAATTTGGAAAGAACAAAAGGGACATGAAGAATTCAGAAGATTAGAATTTGCGAGGACACAAAGAGTGGATGCACCTGAGCCATTGCAAACGATTTTCAGCCATGTCATTCAGGGTCTCTAACCGTCGGTTACTATCATCTCGCGGTCCGCAACCAGTAGTCTACACTTACCAACATGACTTAGTCCACTTGTCAGTGACTTCATGGACTTGCGCCATGTTTTCGTCTGGCCGCCACTAGCTTTCTTCTAATCTACTCCTATACAACAAAACATCGCACATCGAGGCAGTCGGTGGTTGGGCATACGTAACACGTGTCCCAGCCATCTCGACTGATGAAGTTTCACCACTTCATCAATCGATTTACTATCCTTACCTAGTACCTGTTTCCTAACAACTGCGTTACTTACTCGATGGTACCATGATATACGAGTAATGTTTCGAAGACACCTATGATCGAATACTAGTAACCTACGGATATCCTCTACTCTTACCGGCTATGTTTCACTCCCATAAAGTAGGACGGGACGAACTGCTGCTCAGTAAGCATGTCCTTTGGTTGATAGACGGATATCTCGCCTACTCCATAAATGACGCAAGTTGGCAAAAGCTAGTCGAGCCTTCTGTATCCGTGTTGAGATTTCGTCACACACCAGACCACAAGGGCTGATGAGACTTCCAAGATAAGTGAAGCGATCGACACGCTCAACTACTTCACTCCCTATCACTAGTTCGGGTGTCGATGTAACCCAATCCTGGAGCAACATTTTACATTTCGAGGGGGAGAATCGCATCCCGAACATGCTTGCATTGTTGCTTAGAGTGGTCAGAAGACGCTGCATTTTGTCAGCGTCTTCACCAAATAAAACTATGTCATCAGCATATTCTAAGTCAACAAGTGAACCTCCCGGTAGAAGTTCAACCCCTGGAAATTTAGATGAGGAGAGTATTATCTCTAAAAGTACGTCGACGACAAAGTTGAACAAGAATGGAGAGAGTGGGCAGCCCTGACGAACACCACTTGAGGTAATCAATTCTGGTGACAGTTCGTCATAAGCCCTCACTCGACCAGTTGTGTTCGAGTAGAGAGCCTTTAAATGGTTAATGTACTTCTTTGGTACTCCTTTCAGTGACAAACACTGCCATAGAACCTTACGATCGACAGAGTCGAATGCTGCTTTAAGGTCGAGAAATACTACGGTTGTGGGGCGTCTGAACGTGTGTCTGTGTTCTAGAACCTGACGTAGTGTGAATATCTGGTCGATACAACCACGTCCAGGTCGAAAGCCGGCCTGGTTTTCTCTAATCTGCTCTTCACGAGCTTTAGTTAGGCGTCGAAGTATTATTGAAGCTAATATTTTAGATACTATATTTGTCAAACTGACTCCTCTGTGATTGTCACAAGAGGACTTTTGTCCTTTCTTATAGACTGGCACAATCAGTGACTGAGATCAGCCAGATGGGATTACGTCCAGTTCCCAAATTCTACCTAAGACCTCAGTTAATCTCACTGCTAATACTGAACCACCATCCTTAAAAATCTCAGGAGTAAACCTGTCAGGGCCTGCTGCTCTCCCTCGCTTCAGATTTCCTATGGCTTTTTCAACTTCGTAAAGAGACGGAGGACCTATATTAACTTGCCATTCAGATTGACTGGAGATCGTGGAAACCGAAGTGTGGCTGAAGGCCAGTTGAACTGATCCCTAAAGTGTTCTGCCCATCGATCCAATCTCCTGGATTGAGAATGTATAATACGTCCATCTTTCTCTGTGATTGTTTCGCTAACGGTCGGGCTCCTAATTCCGGTTTCCTTAACGAGTCTGAACAATTGTCTGCTATTACCTATTGCCACTGCCTTTTCCATCTCTCTTGCTTTCGCTACCCACTACTGTTCGCGATCATTGCGTAGGCTTCTTTTCAGCTTGTGCTCAAGCTGACTCCGCTCCTCATTATGTTCAGAGCCAGGTGGAATGAGTTTCCGAGCGTCTATCAGTGCGATAGATGCTACTGAGATCTAGTGTTGCTCCCTAACCTTCTGGTTTACCTTACTAGCAGATATCACTGCTGTTTCCACAGCTGTTCGGATATCATTACATGCTGCATCGGGGTGGGCATCACATACATGGCTGCCTAACTGTTTTTCTAATTGTTCCTGAAATATACTCTTAGCTTGACTATCATTAAGTAGGGCCCTAAGAGGTTTACTTACAGCGTCTTTCCTACGTCCAGCAAGATGCAGACAGATACGCGCTTGTACTAGAGCATGATCTGAATCTAAGTATGTGCTCCAGAATGAGCGACAGTCTTCTATCGAGCCCCTCCACCGGTGGCTGATAGCGATGTGATCTATTTGGGTCCAACGTTGGGACGAATTAGGGGGTCGCCATGTTAAAAGATGTTTTTCTTATGCTTAAAGTTAGTATTTGCAAGGAACAGGCGGTTATCTGAGCATAGCTGCAACAGACGGTCGCCATTATCTGTTCTTTGAGCCACGATGCTATAAGATCCACCCAGGTGTCTTTCCCCATCGCCTAGTTTACCTACTTGAGCATTAAAGTCACCGGCCACCATTACTACATCCGGGCGCCTAGCTTTTCGGAGAAGGTCGGAGAGCTTTCTGTAAAACTCATCTTTTACATCATCTGCGCTGCAGTCAGTGGGAGAATAGGTAGAGACGTCGAGTGTCCCTATCTTTTCGGATCCTTACTGTTCCGTTTAGTCGGACAGCGCCCAAACGACTGTCTACTGGGATCCACTCTAAGAGAGCTAGTTCTGCCCTAGGACTCAATGCTATGCCTACGCCGGCGAGGCCACGGTAAGCACAATCAGGGCTTCCAGATACACGAAGCGTAAATCGAGTCGGTTCTTTATTTTGGCATGGTGAGGTCAAATGAATGACGCTACTCGGATCCTGTATGCGCGTTTCGAAGACGCAGCACACATCGATGACGCGAGATTCTAAGGTCCTAGCTAAGGAAGCCTGCTGTCCTGTTTGGCACAGTGTTCGTACGTTAAAAGCTCCTACGTGTAGTTTAGAGCGTGGTTTCAGGAGACCAGGAATAGCGTTACACGTACTCGAATCGTTCGCCCTAGCGGTGCGAGGTGATAAAGAGACGTGAGGAGGGTTAATCATGGAGATAAGAGAGGTATTAGGAGGTGTAGGGAGGATTTGAATGTGACCAACTTGGTCTCGTGTGCTGTTACGGGTATGAGGGCTGATGTCACTTCCCGGCTGCCCACACCGTGGAAGGGTATTTCTTGAGGAACCTGAAAAGGAAGTTGGATTAGTGTTGGTCTTAACGACCTGGGAGCGTGACCACAGAGCCCAGGGGACAACTGCTTGAGGCCGGTCGCGTACGGCTTTTTTGTGGGAGGTTTTTGACGTGTTAGCTCCGTTCTTCAAAGGGCCTTGCCGCCGGAGACGGAAATCCGTGAGGTAAGGTGAGGTGTGACATTTTTAGGGTCGACCTTTTTTAACCCCTTCCTTCCTTGTGGGAAGGCAGCATCGCTGTAGATGCTGGTTGTCCGAGGAAAGCACCTTACTGCTGTCACACCTCTCTACAGTCAGCAGTACGACTTCGCCCTCAGACCTTGAGTTGCTGCTTTTAGTTTTACTGTTCTCCAATCGACCTGCCTGGCATGGTAGAACCTACAGGAACATATGTTCCAGCCAATATAGATCGGTTGGGTCATCACGATAGGCAAGCCCGACCACCGCGTCAAGGTAGCAGCCACGGTCGGGAACTATGAGATTAAAATCGCTTCATATCTTTCTTTCTGCGAACTAATTCTTTCTTCCCGTACTATGTCCTTATATACAATCTTTCTTTTATATATTACCACCATTGAAGTGACTACTTCTATGAATTTGGTGTTCATCTTGTTGTGCTACTGAGGTATGGCAACTTGGACCGATGCACATATGTGCCTGTTCCTACGTTGTAGCTGACTGACTGATAAAATAACAAGCAATTCTCATACTTAAAAGTTAGACTCCTTTCATTCCGAAGTAATCTTTCGTGAATATGATTATGAAATAATGACCCAATGTCAGCTTTCCGTTGTTACTCTTAAGGTCAACAGTGACTTCAAAACCAGCTTCATCCTTTTATATTATTCTTTATGATGACTTGTCGCTAGTACAGTGGACTAATCCTACTTTTCCAAATACATTCAAGTTTGTATATTAAATCGCCAGTTAGTCAGTGTATATGAGCTAATAAAATTAATTCACCATTCAGTATATGGAGAATAACTAGTTAATATGACGTTTGAAAACACAGTACTTTGACTTGAAATATAAAAACATTTTAACAATTTTTTTCTCTAAAACATAATACAAATAGACAGTTGGCAAATTGCATTGTTTAATTCTTTTAAAGAAGCTGAAGGGTAAAGTTGAGTGTTGTAATGTTGTGATTGATTTCACACTATCACTCACATATCCCATCAACAGCACTTTCTTCTATCTTTAAAACCTCAGTAAACACAAAGGCATTGCCGGAATCTCTGATGACAATAGTGGATTAATCGTCTAGTAATAGTTGTATTTGTTATGGTTTCTTCGAAATTTATACCGCATACATGTTCGACCTTAAGTTTCACGCCGGTACATGTTTTTACATCGAGTTGCTCAGCTGCATAGCTTTGTTTACTCCTTAAGAACTGTGACCCCAGTAGTTAAGACATTCGATTCTCAACTTCTTAGTTGAAGGTTGAAACTCCGCTTCATCCACTTTGGTTTACCCCATGAAGTAACATTACTGGCTACTGAAGCCAAGCACATGGTTGATAGGTTGATAACAATCGTAGCGTTTTTTTTCTTAAAAATAAAGATAAATCAATTTAAAATTACCTCATCTACGAATACTTAGGATTTTATTTTAAACTTTACCCTACTATCTGAAACAATGCAAGATTTAAGGTTAAGCGTTCGCGTGCGAGACCGATAGATCGTGGGTTCGAATCTCATGGGGTGGGGTCGTGGATGAACAGTGCTGAGGAGTCCCACAATAGGACGAAATGGCCGCCCAGTGCTCTCAGGCTTTCAATGGTGGTCTAGCTTCAATTGACTCATGATCTCAATTATTGGAAATAAAAGAAATTTAAATAACTCAAATAGATTCATTTTATTTCGTCAGGTTATCAATAGTTTTTAAAACGTGTAATAATGACAATTGGTGCTTAACATATTTATCGAAAAGAAGTTATTGTGAACACGTATCAACATGATATAGCGAATGACCAAGTAAGGTTAAAAAGGGACTAAATGAAGTGTTAAAATAAACTATATGCAAAAGGATTTTCTGAAACCCAGCCAACATGTATGCTTAGTCATAACGAGTGATGTAGTTGATTTATCTTGCAAGTTTCACCAACCTTAGTATCTGACGGAGTCTCGGTAGGAAATCCAAAATCCCGCCACCATACGGTCACATCTGTATGGCTTTTTTTTGAAAACTTATACAATTTACTCCATTGCTAATCAAGCTCGTATACATATCTCTTCTAGCCCAGTATCCAATCAGAAGACGTACCCAATTCTGTTATCACTCAAAATCCATGCAATAATATATTTAAGGTGCCTGACCACACAGCACACCAAATAAGAAATCACACAATCATACCATAAATGGTAGAAGTCGGAGCAAGCATGTAATGACAAGTTTTTATATTAGATATTCTCAAGTCTTTGTAGTACTTTCCACCCGACGTTTACAATAAAGCAGGAACCTCGTATACTTAATAACAAAATCAATCAATACATATGTCTACGTATAGAAAACCTACGTAGAACAGATAATCGACAAACTTTCACAATGGAGCTTCAGTAACAAAAAAAACAATTTCATTCTTTCTCTATCTCCATATTATCGTAAAACTCATTCATTAAACCACTTAGAAGGTAAATTATTCATTTTATAGCTTTGGAAATTCTCTCATTGTGTATAGGAAATTTTCCATAGAATCATTTGCGTATGTATTATTCAGTGGTTATTTTATTAAATTATCTTCAAATTTTGACTTATTTAATACTTTTCAGAGAGACAGACATTTATCAGACGGTGATGTTACGTCATGCAAATATTCTAGGTTTTATTGCAGCTGATAATAAGGATACAGGACTGTCTACCCAATTATGGCTTATAACTGACTATCATCCATTAGGATCATTATATGAATTTCTACAACAACATTGTCTGACACCGTTTGCTCTTTTACGGGCCGTTGCATCAATTACCAATGGTTTGGCACATTTACACATGGAAATTACTGGGACACAGGTAATGATTTTTTGTTGTATGCACTTGACTCTGTAGTAAAAATGATATTTTTTAAACAGTAACTATACTTTAATACTATTATCTGCCTAAACTCATTAAGTTCGTTTTTGTGTAATAGAGGCATGTTCTTTACGGAGATGTTATTTTACTCAGGTGATACATTAACCGTGTTTCACTAAATGTGATTACATGGAAACAAAACTAACAGCTACTAGAAGTTTATTCTGTTAGTTTCAATAAAATTCGTCTGGTGTCATGGTGCTGTAGTGATAGAGAATTGTTTGTTCTGGACAAAATATTTATAAAATATAACCACCGGTGGGATCAGTTTTTTGCTTTATTGTCTAAATTCTCCAGTCGTTGATTTATATCATACTAAGAAGCCCATAGATTTTAGTTATCATGACTCTTGATATATATATATATATATATATATATATATATATATATATATATTCTTGACTTCAGGCTAAGCTTCTTAGAAATCAGTATCTTCAGCTAATAGCGCTTACCAAGCTGGAAAATTTTCAATTCCGCACAATTATACCATTCCATTCAGTTTCTTGACAATAGTTCACTTTCAGCTTTTAATTGAAACTACTCATTTGATTTCAGTGCCGTTCACTCAGTACTTGTATCAGGTAGGATTGATATCGTGAATGTGCCACAGCCTAGTTCTACTGGTTATGTTTCACCGTCAGTCCCCAAATGCCTGGTACTACCGATGGTGGGGACAGTCAGCTCTCCCTCTCGAAATAATGCAGATTAATGACCACTAAATATATTCCTTGCACCTTTTTTACTGAAAGTATATTTGGTCTATAGTTTTATAATTTTACATAAATTTTAACAATTTATCATATCAGAAGGGGTTTTGTGGAGATTGTAGTAATTTCAGTAGTTGAGATCATGGGTCAATTGAAGCTAGACCACCATGGAAAACCTGGCAGCACTTGGCGGCCGTTTCGTCCTATTATTGAACTCCTCAGCAGTGCGCATCCACGCCGTTCAATGCTTCCAGGTTTTCCATGGTGGTTTAGCTTCAATTGACTCATGATCTCAATTATTGAAATTTATCATCTGTTATCTACAAATAACTTCTATTTAATTGTAATATTTTGTAAATTTAGGGTAAACCTGCTATAGCTCATCGTGATCTGAAGTCTAGGAATATCTTAGTTAAAATGGATGGTGAATGTTGTATTGGAGATTTGGGTTTTGCTCTTAAATTGGACTCATCTATGAATACTGCATTAGAAATTAATTCAAACTCAGATCGTGTTGGAACCAAACGTTATATGGCTCCTGAAGTGTTAGATAATACAATACGTTTAACAAGTCCAGAAGCATTTAAACAAGCTGATATGTACAGTTTAGGTTTGGTATTTTGGGAGGTTACAAGACGGTGCTATGTTCGTAATTTATTCGGACCAGATGAATATCAACTACCTTATCAAGTAAGTATACTTAATATTTTGTTCATCCTTAATTTAAGTAACGTTCTCATGAAACCATTTTCTTACTAAAATGATATATCATGTTAGATTGTTACCTGTTTTCATCGTAGTCAATAGTTAATTCCTACACAAAACTGGATTTTACTTCCATTCTATTTTCATGAATGATTATAGGAGACTAGAGTTAATCATATGTGATGATGTATTCTGATATATTTACACATTTGTTCATCTTTTTTTATCATAGTTCATTGTGAAATTGCAAAAATTCTACTCCAGTGGTTGTAATGTAATATAATTTTTTAAAATAAAGAAGATTAGTTCAACAAAATGATCTGCTTCCAGGTATTCCATAGTGATCTAACTTCAATTGACTCATGATTTCAACCATTGAAATTACTATAATATCCATAAGAACCTCTTCTGATATGAAAATGATCTATTTTCAACAAATTCACTCTTAAAGCGCGGTATAACTTGAAGAAGAAAAACTTTTTTTTCATCATGAAAACTAATGACCTGTTATCGTTGTTGCTAATAATAATAATAATAATAATAATAATAATAATAATAATAGTTATCAAACTTATATAATAGAAGAGTGAACTAAACAATTCTCATTAAGAAAATAATAAAAAAAAATGTATTTCTTAATAAAGATCAGTCACTCGTTGAGAATATCACTAAAGTTAGATCAAGATTAATAATTACAAAAAAAATGAAGGTTATATAACTATGTGATAAGATAAATTATTAAAATGGTAATGAAATATTAGCGGAAAACAAATCAAACAAATGAATGTTGTATCCTCTGATTATGTTAGTTTACTCGATTCTTCTTCATAATTAGAATAAAAGTTTTAAGAGAACATTATACATATCAGTCAGTCAAACCCACAAACGTAGAACCTAGCACATATGAACATCGCTTCAATTTGTAATATTTCATTAGTATAGTGAGGTAAAATTGTCATGGGGAATCCCAGGGTAGTAGATTTAGTGACAGTATTGATGAAAAAAAAATGGAAAGGATTAGGCATCGAATACACTTTGAGAAAATTGGGATCTGAAGGAAGACAAAAAGTGCCATTGCAAATGACCTTGAGCCGTATCATACAAAGTTTCTAATCATTAATTACGTTAATCATGCGAACCTTAAACCAATCATTCTGTACCTAACTACATGGCTCAGTCCAGCAGGCAGTGTCTTTATGAAATGATGTCATTTCTTCTAACCTACTTCTACATCAGACATCATCGCATGTCGATATAGTTCATTGTTGAGGATATACAATCTGTGTCCTAACCATTTTAGCCGATAAAGAACCACTATCTCATCAGTCGATTGGCCATACTTACTTAATATTTTGTATCTCACTTCAAAATTACTAACTTGATGGTCTCAAAATACATGAACAATCGTTCGAAGACACCTTATATATATGATAAAAACCGAGTTAATGTCGATTTCACATAGGAGTCATCTAACATCTCAACACATTCGCTAGCTCTGATTAGTAATTAAAAGTGAGCCAATCAACTTATTCCGATTTGATCCTGGTTAGAGCATGCAACAATAGAGCTCTATCATGCTAATAGTTAACGAGGGGATAATCAGTCAGTCGAGTAAAGTTTATGTTAACGTATTTGTATTAGTTGTTTGAACCTACCCATCGACGTTTAGCACTGCGATTAAACAATCTCTTTGTCCTTTTATACAAGCCAATGTCTACCTAATCTCAGAAGCTATGTAGATAACGCATTGTGTTTGAAGTAAACGGTACTGAGTTCGAGTCCCGGAATGAATGTGAACTCTGGGGCTCAGGTATACCCAGCTGACGAGTCCAAAAAGGGGCGAAATGCATGTCCTGGATTATACTGCTAACCACCATCCATCTCTGCGTATAATGTTTGTGTTAACAATAAACAGGTCTTGAGTACGTTTCATTGAGAATGGTTTTACGATATATGAAGGGGGGTGTCACTTCCGGGCCTCCCACATCTGCAGCGTTACTGCAGATGCTAGTTGTCTAAATGAGGCACCTCACTATCATCAAGCCTCCTATATAGCCAGCATCTGAACTTCACCCTCCGACCATCAGTTGGTAATCCTAGGTGTATTTCTTAAAAAAATATTAATCATGTAATATAACTGAATGATTCAATACAAGTTCATAGATATGGCTTTAAGTTACAGTTAATAATAATAACTGGTTGTCCAGTCCGATGTAAGTGATGAAAGGTAATTCAAACCTACTGACAAAAGTTTTTACATCACTTTAGCGACCAATGTTCGAATTAAATATCGTACGATTTTATTGACCCTGTCGCCATTGTAACCATAACATCTCACTTTAAAGTGAGCAGTAGTAAGCAATATTTGTTCTATATCCATTGATTAATCCAATTCTCCCTAATGGATCGTAGTCCTACGTCATTCAGCTTCACAGCTTGAAACGTTACCACTGAGCCTATATTCGATAGTATCAGTTCCTTCAAGGTTACAGTTACAGTTTACGGATGAGTACCAGGCATCAGGAAACTTAAATCAAGCGGAGTTTTCTAACTACATTCAAGTATTTAACATCTCAATATATTAATAATGCACGGGATATCAGGTCAGTTAGGTTTTAGTGATCACTTTGCAACTTGATCGATAGAATTCAATCGGCACTAAAGCACTAGACAAACATAACATTGGTCGCCAGTCAATCATCAATTAATTGTAAATATCCATATCTCTTCATCTCCCTAACATCAGCTATCTATTTATTATTCCCATCGGTTGTGTTCCATGTCTAACCATATATCATCATGTTGAACTTATATACTAAGATTATAATGTTGTTCGTAATTTTGTTTATTTGCTTGTTTACTTATTTTTATCTAGTTGACTTCTCTCTGTTTTTCCATGTCAGTTGCGTAAAATATTACAATTCTTGAACGATTCAAAATTGTAGGGCAATATTATGTAACGCTGTCATCCATCACTTGTTCACTCCGCCTTTGAGATATATATGTATATATTTAAATTTACGTTGATAAATAAACAACGTGCATGAAATACTGTTGTCTACCTTCAATATGACTTTTCTGTTTTCATATAATTCGATTGGTTAATTACTTGATAAGGAAAAATCTAGTTTACATATGTATATGTTAGTTGAGGGACACTTGTATCGGTCACGTATACATGTGATTATGTTTGTTCTACCGTTGTCATTATGTATTATATATATAATTAGCTGTGTTTATATTTCACGTGTTATTATTAATGTCATAGATCATTGGCTTGTACGTATATATTATGTGTGTATGCCTAGTTGTCTGGTTTGCAAAGTGAAGAATCTCACTTCTCCATTTTCTTTATTACCATGGTGTACTAGTATAGTGTGTGCTGTACATATATGTACATCTTCGGTACATTGATACACATGCATACTCGTGCGTCTGTCAAAATAACTAGTAGGCGCAAGAATTTGTGATGTGATTGTGGTGGTGGTGGTGGTGGTGGTAGTGGTTTGTAATGTACAACATCTCATGTATTCTGTCCTCTCTGTGTGTTTATCCTGTTTTTATTGTTACTATTTGAACAGTTGTATTCTATTGTTGTTCTACTTTCTATTACTTGGATAAAATTTGTTTGGATAATTTTTAATTGATCTCATCTACTTGGATATTATTCCCCCAAGTAAAAATAACAGTAGTTGAGTAGTTCATTTCTAGGTATGTATACGTATTAAGGTGTATGTAGCTCAGCACTAATTATCATGCTGACATATTTAGTATTTTCCTCGTTCATTCATTCAGTAATATGTTGTTATATCTTATGCTTTTAAAAAGTGATCTCCATATTCTGTTATGAATTGAATAATTAGGGTGTTTGTGGAGATTGTAGGATTTTCACAGTCTAAGTCATAAACTAATCTTAGCTAGACAATATCATTGAGAACCAAGAAGTACTGGACAACCGTTTTGTCCGAGTATGGGACTCATACATATCCACAACCCCGCCATCGGGTATCGAACACAGGACTCGGTCTCGTGTGCAAATGTTTAATCTCTAAATCACTGCGAACGAGACCCAATAGTATCAATGTCCAACTTCAATCAATTTATGACGTTGTTTTCCCCTAAACACTGAGATTAGAATTACTTTATACCGTTCTTTCTGCGAACTAATCCTTTCTTCCTGTATTACATATTTATATGCAATCTTTCTTTTATATATGACTTCTATGAATTTGGTGTTCATCTTGTTGTGCCTAATGAGGTGTGGTAACTTGGACCGATGCATATATTTGCCTGATCCTACGTTGTAACTAACTAACTGTGCTACCATCTTCCGTTACCTGAGATAGATAACGGTCACACTTGACATAGTTGAACTCCATGAAATTATTTACTCAATCATTCTCTTACTTCAGTTTAGTAAATTATTGTTTAAATCAATATTTAATTTTAGTAAAACGTTATCTCTAGATTATGACGTATAAGTGAAAAATCGTGCAATAATGTTTTGTGCTAAAAAATCTGGCATCACTGGGTTAAACCATTATTTACAATTTAGTGCAGTTAACATATATGTAGTGAGGTGGATGGGAACTTCTCTATTTAAGTTCCTCATTGTAAATTATGATGGAAGTATTTAAGGTTTGCTTCAATGCTTACAGAGAGAAACCTTATTTTGTAAGTAGTTGAGTCAATCTAAGAAGTTACGTTGTAGTGATAAAATTTAGTAAATGTATTTAACCTTAGATGATTAAAATGAAGTTTGCAATCAAAATTACAATCTGATGATGCCCCAGCTTTGACACGCTAAATGCACAGAAAATGTTAGATATCATGCTTTCATTAAACATAGAAAAAATAGGTTGGTTATTCTCTGTTATGGTTTGTATATAACATGATTTCAGAATTTCTGAAAATAACTTGTTTTAAGATTTAAGACCAAAGAATTATCTGCATAACAATTCATCAATATAACTACAATAGCAATCGCTTACACTTATCCAACTCTAACTTTTCCCCACATTTTGTTTTCACTTCCCAATGAGCTTGGTTTATTTTAGTAGTCGCTAAAAATCGTCGGTAAACTATACTTTCACCTAGGCTTCTATTATTCACAGTATTATCAGTAGTACAAGCAAAGAATGTAGAAAACTGTTTTAAAACGTATTTCAGATGTCAGTATATAATTGTCTACAGCCATTATTGAATCCATTTTAAGTTATTATTGGTATACTATCTGTTAAAGTTATCGTAAATTTGCTACATTATTTTTGAAGAAAAAAGAGGGTAATTTGCACAAATAACCTCCTTTGACTTCAATTTATTATCATAGAATTATCAGTAGCGTCAGTTTGACTTCCAATCTCTAGTTTTTACACCATTTTACACTGATTTCTGTATGTCGCTTCATTATCACTTGAAGCGTTTAACTTTTATCTGTCAGTTTACTATTTTAAATTTCAATTTATCTATTTCGGTTCAGGTTGTTGGATGTCATTAACCGTGACCCGAATTCAAGAATATACAAATTATAGCGTAGTAAATGTATTGGATAAATCTAATTTGAAAATTTCAGTTTTTTAGTGGTTGTATTCTTTACAGTTTACTATCCAGTTGGGTTATCATTGGAAACTGGTTACACTGGTATTAAGCGTTCACCACGGGACCTGAATGTCATGGGTTCAATCCCTAGTGAAGTTGTGAGGGTAGCCTCGTATTTGAAAGAAACAGTTGTTCAGTCCTCCTTGGTTTTTAATTGTATTCCAATTAAGACTAATTTATGATTAATGTAAACCCACCAACTGTTTGGAACCAAATTCCATCAAACCCCTTCAACTAAATGCCGATTTTTGTTTGTATTTATCGTGGTTTATTTGTACTTACCTTGAAATTGTTCTTTTTTTTTACTCTTTTTTCCCCCACAGGATCTTGTGTCTGCAGATCCTTCAGTAGAAGAAATGAAGTCTGTTGTTTGTGAACAAGGTCTACGACCAGGTCTACCAGCTATATGGTCGAAACATGAAATTATCCGAGCACTACAAGATATAATGAGTGAATGTTGGTATGCTAGTCCATCGGCTAGACTATCAGCTATGCGTGTTAAAAAATCACTAGCTGGTGTACGTAAACAATTAGATACTAATCCAGCATTGTCAGATTTTTCACATACTAATTATCTACCTCCAGAAGCTACTGATAAGCTTCCTTTTGGCATAATTCGTTGTCCATCTGTGCCACGTAATACTATGAATAATACTAATACTAATACTACTAATAATAAACAAATAAATTTATTACCAAATCTTACAAGTACCAATTCTGTTGGTACTACAGTTGGTAATAAATTACTCATCTCAGGCAGTCATAACAATACAACTTATAATGATAGTAATAATCCTTTATTAACCACTACCATCACTATCACACCTCCAACAATGCTTGATAGTAATATTCATCATAGAAAGTGTCAATGTAATGATGATAATAATATTTTATATTCATCATTATTATATAACAATGGAAATATTTCCTCATATTGGTCAAATTGTGAATATGATAAATTATTATTATTCAATACACATAATAATAATAATGATAATAATTCGAAGCATTTATAGTCATCAATCAATCTTCCTCCATTATATTAAAGAAGAAAACAAAACCTGATTATTATGAGTAGATGGAGAGAAATAAAGGATAATTGCACACTTATTATTATAAATAGTCTTATATACTTTCTCAGCTTGTATTTTACTATACTGAACTCTATCCTATGCATATATAATATGCATTTTCTCATTCTTTGTTGTTGTTGTTGTCTCTTTTTTTTTCTGTCAATGTGTAAATGCTTGTATTATTACTATCACTGTATTGTGTATTGTCACTATTACTGAGCTCTTGTGTATTGTTTCATATTTATTGCTGTTTGTTATTATTTAACGCTTTGTAGATTACTACTAAAGACATGTGTATATGATATTTTCATTCGATTTTGATTTTACTTTCAAACAGAAATCAGCTATTTTGTTGTTATGATAAGTATGTATGTATGTATGTATGTGTAATTGTAGTTTATGTGTACAGTTCCACAGATTGTTTATGCTTACATGTGCAATCTTTATTTCTTTCTTTTATCGCACCACGACTCAACAGTCTTCTCGTATTAACTTTCACTTTATCTATATATTGATATTATTATCATCATCAATAATCTATTCCTAAGTTGATCAGGTGTGTTTCTTTGTTTTATGTATTTTTCTTTATCTCGGCACTCTTGGAATGTCTTTCTTCGGGTTGCACACATACATTATCTCTTCATTAAAATCACCCTCAATACACTGGTTTATATTTTAGTTTTATCCTATATCTGTCCTACCAAGTTGAATTGCACATATACATATAAAACCTTTCCCTTGGCTTCATTTAGCTTAGTTTATGTGTACTATGTAAATTTGTGTTTCATTTATGAAATATCAGAAACATTCTAAAAGTCGTACACTAGTTGACTAAGAATAGATTCGCTAATTATGCTGATGAATTAGATACGATAATGTTGATAATGATAGTAGAATCTAGTTGTTCCTATTACTATTGTTAATTACGTATTTACACTGCATTATGCTTTTGTTTGTTAACATTCTATTTCGGTTTACCACAAACAAGATGAAACAATTCAGCATATATATATATATATATATACCCATATTTGTTTAAAAAAATTAACTGCCATGTGATTCTCTTATATATATGTATGTACGTAAGCTGACATTTTATTTTCACCGGTTTTATTCCTTCTCTCATGTTTTGGATTGTCATCGACACTGTGTATCCTGGTTTTATTTTCTTTAACAAATGCCGGTTATTGTTATCCACTATTATTATTGTTGTCATCATTGTTTCATATATTGATGCCTTTTCTTCACTTCTTTTATTACTATTTTAACTTGATAACTTACCTATGACGTAACACTATGCTTCAGAAGTGAGTAGTTATTTGAGATTCCACTGTTGTTGTTGTTGTTGTTTTTCTTTCTTTCTTTTATTCTCTTTTTTCAAATTACTGGTGGTATTTTGAAATTGTTTTCTTTCTTTTCTTTTTTTTTAATTTATTTTATTTATCACAAAATAAATTTATTTTTCTTATGTAAAATGTAAATTTGTGTATGTATACACAAAAGAGAAAGTGCATTATGATTAACTATTGTTTTGATTGATTCACAATGGATAACCTTTAACTATGATGAATTCATTAAATAATCGATATAGTCTTTCATCAACGTATGAAAGTCAGTTTACTAGTGAATTCATAATGTTCTTGAAGATTTCATCAGAAGTTGTTATTAGTAGAGTGAAATAGTGATCATAGAAGTTGCAATTGTACTATTGGATCATAATCCATTCGTTTCGATAGTTAAGTGTTCATTATCAAAAGTTAAAGTCCTAGATGTGATTCATATTGAGTTCGTATGTGCACACAACTTAGATTTCACATGCCGAAATGTAGAAGCTGCCCAATGTTTCTTGGTTTACAATAGTATTTCAACTGAGATCATTCTATAGTGAATACAATATACAAATCAAGTCAGTCCCCGATTTGTACAGAGTCATGGGAAGTTTCAAGTGCTTTCGTACTATTAGGTAACCTGGTGTTGAATAAGTTTTCGCTAGTATCTAAGATATCCTAATTTTCAGTTGCAAAGTGAATTAGTTAATAAGGTGTAAAATATTAATTCAAATATGATATTGAGTGGAAATTGCTCTATTCTTTCATTGATTGACTCAAGTTAAAAGCACGTACTGCGGGATGACAGCTTCATTTTTACTAAGAATCCTGAGCATCTTTGGTACAAAATCTGAGTGGATTCGTGTACACAATACTAATGAGTCCTTGAGTGTGTCGTGAAACAATGCCTCCTAGGTTCTAATGTTTATATCTTGAATATGAACTACGCGCTAGAGGTTAGGTAGTGTCTTCGAAGGATTGCTCGGATATCGTGAGATGACCGACTGAGCGGTTCTAAAGTTAGGGATAGAGTACCAAGCAAAAATAGCTAATCGGTTAATGAGTTTGTAAATCTTCATCTGCTGCGGGAATTCAAGTATATATTATTCAAGTTTAACTACTGCGTACTTCGACGCGCGATGCTTTATGGTGCAGGAATAAGCTGGAAGAAAGCTAAGGGTGACCAAACCATGTTGTAGGATCAGTCCATGAAGTCATTAACTATTGGATTAAACCAAATCGGGATCAGTGCAATAATGCCGATCAGTGAATGGTTAACGTCCAAGAAACATTTATGGTGGCCCAAATACACTTACTTTTTGTCTTCATCTTGGGTTCCAGTATTATTTCTTATTATCATTGTTACTACACTACATTCTTTACATTTCAACTCGTAATGCTAATATGGTACAACAACCTGAGTTAATACACATTTATTCCAGGCTATACGTTGGTTCTGACTAATATCAGCTATCGATTCGTGATGAAAATCATTTACAAATGTTAACGCTAATATTACAACTAGTAAGAATTACGGCAGAACTGTTTTTGGTGTGACTTTACGTCCGGCTAGTTACCACGTGATTTATTCACCAATCGGAATATGACTTATTCAATATTAGTAATGCGCCTAAACCAATCACGTTCTACAGGTATGAACAGACTAACGTCCTTATTGATCCTTTGTTCACCTAACCCGTCCAGTTGAACCCGGAACACCAATAACAACTACCACTATGTGATTCATTTATTTCAAACAATACTTGGTTTATATACCAGCCAAATTGGTTACACCACACCATGAAATAGGAAATAACATTTAAACAAGATCAAGTCAAAAGTGACTGTGAACGTGGAAAACTCGAATCAATAAATTGAACATAACTGAAGAATAGTTGGGATATAGATAAACACAATCTAATTACTGAGTAGTCAATTAATAGTTCTCACAAGTTACCTGTAATTTAAACTTCACTAGGATATAGCACATACTATGAATAATTTGATATTATTGTTGTCATAATTAAATGATGAATTTCAATGGTGTTAGATAAAAATTGATCTTGTCTACTCAAATTTTTGAGTCATCTGCTTTGTAAGTATGTAACTTCAATGTTGTGTCCCAGTAAACACCCAGATTAGATCAGAATGGGTTTTGTGGAGAGTTTTAGAAATTTCACAGGTTGAAATCATGAGTCAGTTGAAGCTAGACCACCATTGAAAACCTGGTGCGGGATCGTGGATGCGCACTGCTGAGGAGTCCCATACTAGGACGAAACGGCCGTCCAGTGCTTCCAGGTTTTCAATGGTGGTCTAGCTTCAACTGACTCATGATTTCAACCCAGATTAGACCTAATTAATTAATTGTTTTGGGGAGATCCAGAAAACTCCTCCAAAAAAAACAACAAAGGCTCTGAAGACGCTGGGAAGCATCTTATCCAATCAGCATTCAATAGAAGTTTTGCCAGAAACATCTAGAAAGTGAAGAGTCACATGTCTAGTTTCTAATTAGATGATTATCTATACTTCTACCATGCTTAGTAGCGTTCCAGAATTTTCCGGAAACTCAAGGTCATCTAACATACCCTAAAAACCTTAGATTTTCTTGACATAAAAAAACCTTGAAGTAGAGCGTTTCTCTTATGTTTCGCGCCTTTTCTTTCATGTTCAAGTCGCTGTTTATATTTAGCCTAGGGGTTACTAGAAGAGCTTTGGAACCGGATCTAGCGTTCAATTAGAAGACTTATGAATTTGTTTAATACGCAAACAGTATAATGTACACATATGCTTCTAGGCAAAGCTTACAACTTTCAGCTATAATCAACATTGAGGCATTCAAGAGGAAAATCTAAAATGGTCGGCATAATTTTATCTTGGTTCGCCCCTTCAAAATAAACCGAGAAGTGTTTGTTTTTTTATCCAGAATACTGTTCTTTTAAGATTGAAAGGTCTCTAACTGTAACCAGATGAAAGGTATAACATAAGGAAAACACTGTTCCTAATTCTTGTTATTTTTTAAATCTGCATCTTCTTGAGAAATAAACAAATAAAAATACAAAATTAGTATTTGCAAGAAACACTAAACATTCATATACATAACCTTTTTTAGCTTGAGGGCCACAAATGAAAGAACAGGTAGTATATATCTATTTACAACCAATCATTCTACATTTACTTTCATCATGAGGCGTCATAATTCTTCTACATGGATACACCAAATTCAGCACACATTCATTTATATGATGAAAATATGTTCGAAATTATTATGTAATAACTACCAGTAATATTAAGTGATTCAGACTTCAGAAAAATCAGGTATTTAGACAAGGTAAATGACTGATGATGTACCAACTACATCTTTTCAATAGTTGCTAACAGAAATGTGTTTCGTATTACTTTCGATATGTTTAGTTGAATATTCCAACCATTTTAGTGTTGTTCCTAGTGAATATTATTTTATTATTTATTTATTTTAACACATAGATATTGGTACGAGGAGGCAACAAATACATATGTGCCACACAAATCTCATTTTATATATCTGAGGGCTGTGATACTCCCTGAATGCCCAAACCGGAGCAGGCGGTTTTCTTAGGGGCCACACCAGAAGCCATCGACCTGCAGGTCTGATCCACAAAGCAGTAGAGCATCGTAAGGACATGCAGTCATATGGAAGCCGGTGACCAACAATTGGTTCATACGACATTTGTTCCTTCAGGATACTGGAGCCTATGTACATCATTGGTTTGGAATCAGGGTTTTCCGATTTCCCTAGGTGAACTCGCCGTATCCACCAACTCTGTCTAAGGAGAGGACATTCGCTTTTCGTTCTCTCAACTCCGTAAACAACACCGTCGCCAAGAGAGGACAGTGAGTAGGACGTCCCTGGTAGAGGCTATATACGCGTGGCCATGTGAGAGCATTTCGGCTATACCAGGGCATTTGGGGGCGTGTTATCTAATAAGAGAGAGAGAGAGAACGAGTCTAGATAGCTAAGAATCAGTTCAGAGAGTGTATGAATTTGTTTCCAACTAATTGGCGGTTTGTTTTTTTTTTTTTGGTTTTTCATTGGCTTATAAATCCGAACACAAAGAGATATTTATTCATTTAATCAGAAAACAAAACTTGTTATCATACAATAAAATAGGATGATGCAAAACAAAAATTGATCCAATATTCATTGATGATGATGATGAAAAATATTTAAAGAAAAGATAATTTATGTAAACATTTAGATAACAATCTGTCATAACAAAATGACTAATTGGCTAACTCTTTAAAATATTCACGTTATTCTATTGTAAGTAATTGAAGAATTAACAATAATGAATGATCGGATAATTAGGAGAACAGCATCATCTTACTACTTGTTAACTAACAATGATTTCAAACAACAACAACAACAACAAAAACACTTACTAAAACGGTCATATCTTAGTGAAGATTAAATTACGAGTAACTTCCGAGAACTATTAATGGACTGATACTTTGTATATATACATATATATAGTTATTGTATAACTATTCAGTAACTAGACTGTATATATCCATATTCCTCTTATTATAAGCTTCAATTAGACCTATAGATTATTATTGTACGATCTACTATTCTTGAGTTATGTCTTGTTTATTGATTCTAGTCTCCCACGTTCACAGTCACTTTTGACTTGATCTTGTTTAAATGTTATTTCCTATTTCATGGTGTGGTGTAACCAATTTGGCTGGTATATAAACCAAGTATTGTTTGAAATAAATGAATCACATAGTGGTAGTTGTTATTGGTGTTCCGGGTTCAACTGGACGGGTTAGGTGAACAAAGGATCAATAAGGACGTTAGTCTGTTCATACCTGTAGAACGTGATTGGTTTAGGCGCATTACTAATATTGAATAAGTCATATTCCGATTGGTAAATAAATCACGTGGTAACTAGCCGGGCTTAAAGTCACAATAGTTGGCTACTCATTTCAACTGGAAATACCCTCCTTCTGTATGAATGGTATAATTTTAAATTTGGGTTTTTATTGCGTGATCCGTTTTCTAATTGAATTAATATTTTTTTTTAAATAATGTGAATTTCAATAGTTGAGATTATGAGTCAATTGAAGCTAGACCACCATGGAGAATCTGGAAGCACTGGATTAGTTGAAGTTAGACATTAACACAGTTGATGCCTGCTCAGTGGTCTATTGGTCAAGCGCTCGTGCGAGACTGACAGGTCCTCGGTTCGAATCTCGCTAGACAGGATCGTGGGTGCGCATTGCTGAGGAGTCCCACAATAGGATGAGACGGCTGTTCAATGCTTCCAGGCTTTCTATGGTGACCTAGCTTTAATTGGCTCATGATATCAACTATTAAAATAACTACAACCTCTACAAAACCCCTTTTGAAAATAACGTGAAATTAAGATTGGTGCAACTCTATCTTGCAATTCGAATATTTTACGTAAATTTATCATTTGAAAATTCCTATTCAATATACATGGAAAAGAAACGCCTATTTTATAGTATGTAATAGCATAACAGGAAAATAATTTACTTATTATCATAACTGCATGTCACAATGCAATGTTGTCATTGGTAACGTTTGTTTATGTTTATTTTCAAGATAAACACTGAACATGATGATAACTCAGCTGGAACTGTTGCAACAATATTATTTTTGTTCTTGTTTTTCTTAAAAATATCACAATGACCATCAACTTCTAATTGTAAACAAACATTCTAAATTGTTAGTATAGAGTTGTAGAGATTGTTGAGTATCACTGGAATCATGAACCGATCAATATTAGATCCCTATTAAAAACTTGGAAGTAATGGACGGCCGTTTAGAAAATTATTATATGATCACTAGTGATTAGCTTTGGGAGAAAATTTCCGGAGTACTAGTGGGAAGCTGTGACCAATGGAGTTCACTCGTGTCAGGTGTGAGCCAATCATCCACCAAAGTCAATGGAAGATGGTTGTGCACTATTGTGGAACGATTAGAATTAGATTTATACAACATTGGATACCCACTCAATGGTTTGAATGTTAAATGTTCGAGCACGAGACCAAAACTCTAGTACTTGTCTGGGAAACTTCGACTGACACAACTCAAGAAAGAAAACACTATTGATAAGAGAAATAGATTTTATTACACTTTCGATAAGACACTATGTTCATACTTACCAAAATATATACACCCATCAATTTTACTGACAGTTAATGATTAATTTCAACAGTTGACATCATGAGTTAATTAAAGATAGACCATCATTGAAAATCTGGAAGCACTGGATAACCATTTCGTCCTACTGTTGGACTCCTCAGCAGTGTTCATCCACGATCCCACCTCGCATGCAAACGTTTAACCTCTAGACCACTGAGCCGACATCCAACGGTGTTAATGTCTAACTTCAAATAATCCACGAAACTGAGCGACACATTGTAATCACAATTGATTGATCACTGGGTAGTGATCAATGCCATGTGTGTGAAGTCCTTCTTAGTCCACGGTTTCCTGTTGACTACTTACAACCACCATCTTACATCAACATAGTGCACGCAATGTCGAGTCACCTAGGCTAGTGACCAACTTGCAACTTTGTCGATAGAATTCGATCTGCACTAATAAAGACCTGACACACATGACATTGATTACCACCTAGTGATCAATCAATTGTGATTACACCTCAGTCCTACAGGAGGTCGGTCGCTGCTCGGATAGCTCAGTGGTAACGTCTGACTGTGAAGTTGGGTGACACTGGATCGAATCCGTCAGGGAGCATCAGTTCCCTCAAGATTACAGGTACATCTTGCTGACGAGTGCCAGGTAGCATGAAATCCGGATCCAGGGTTTCCTGTTGATTACCTTCAACCACCATCTTACATCTACCATTGTCTTCAGTGAGTTACTATCTCACAACAGACTCGGTTGAACTGCACTGTTCATTGCTTTTCACTAGAAGCAGTGATTTATTGATTAGTTAATGAATATCACATATAACTAAAATAGGGAAGATACAAAACTGAATTTTACACAGAATAACAATAAAACATGTACTACATTTTATGCTGAACAAAACTTATACCAAATTGCAATATGATCTCATGTGTATTACTCCATCTCAACACCATCTTCTTTTTTTTCTATAACTGGAACACCTATGAATAAAGTGATGTAAAACTTGTAACATTCTGTATTTCTTGTTTTATATAAATCTATCGTATCCCCTACGAATAACTCAATAATTCTCGATTGTTTACTACTTTAGATTACACCTCAGTCCTACAGGAGGTCGGTCGCTGCTCGGATAGCTCAGTGGTAACGTCTGACTGTGAAGTTGGGCGGCCTGCTTAAACATCTGGGCTACCTGTTCCTGCCATCTAGATATTTCAACAAGTCATCTGTTTTTGTTTGTTTTAATATATCATTATGTTTATTAATCGCATAACCCATCCTAGTGCATTTCTGAAAAGTTTACAACCTTTAGTTGTCAAAGTTACAGAAAACTCAATAAGAGACAATGTGGTTGCTGTCAATATACAACGAAAAGAATGCACATTATTCAGATGTTCATTTACTGAACTACTAACACCTAGCGTGCGATCACTCGATATTTATCGCCAGGACCGACCAAGAAGAAAGAAACGGAAACTTGTTGAAATACTTTACGCTGAGAATTCTATATTGCACCAAAAATATAATATTGAATAAAGCTGCTGCTGCTGATAATAATAATAATAATAATAATAATACAATTAGCAAATAAGAAAAAAAACAGGACTCCGAATGATTTGACATAAAATAAGTTATGATGAAATATCTCTTGGATTTAGAACATTAGTAGGTTACCACCGAAACGGTCTGACCTATTATTATTATCATTATTATTATTACTATTACTATTACTACTACCATTATTATTATTATTGTTACTATTACTATTACTATTATTATTATTATTATTATTATTATTATTATTATTATTATTATTATTATTCAATAGTAATCCATTCTGATAACACAATTTAAACTCCATGAATAAAACACACAAAATTATAAGGTTTGTTATTAACTCTAACAGCAGCAGTAGCAGCAGCAGCAGCAAAAAAAGGTAAAAAGTTGCTTATCATTCCATTCTATAAAATTCTATTCACATTTATCAAAAAGAAAAAGAATTTAAAAAAAAGCGGTAACTTTCATTACTCTTAACTCTATCCGTTTTCTACTTTTTTTTCAAAAAAAAGATACTCTTTACATTGAAAGAATTTTCCAAGTTTTAGATGTATGTTAAAAGTTTGTTTCACACCACCACCACCACCACCACCACCACCACCGCCAACAACAACAGCAACAACAACAAAAACAATTTGTACCAAAAAAGAGAGAGAAATAAACAGAAACCTTGACTTCTAAGTGTTTACATAACTTGATAATGATATATATATACATATATAACATTTGATTATAATAAATACCCTATAAACTGTGTACAATATCTATTCAAAAGCTTCAATTTTGTTTGCGTATGTGCGAATGTGTGTGTGTGCGCGTGTGTGTAGGTTCGTATATATGTTTCTATGTATAAATAAGAATGGATACTTATCTTGAAAGAAAAAAATAGTTTATGTATTTGGTCATATTAAAAAAGTTTCTATGAATTAGTATGATTATTTTTTATAACGATCAATAATGGTGTGGTTACAACCGGAAACTTTTGATTTCTAATATATATAATCAATATCATTGATTTTACTTTATTTTACTTTATTTTTCATAGTCTTATGTATGAAACGTATTCTTGTCTAATATACACTAGAAGAGATAGGGGTAGATAAAGTGAATCGGTTCAAATGACTATTAAAGTATAATAGAATTCCATTCAGTAATTGATAATCATATATACTTGACGACTTATAAAGATTAGGAGTTTTCTTTTTGTTTTCTATTTAAGAATAATCGTTCTATTCAATAGCATATGTGTTATATAATATGGATATACACAATATGAAATATTTCATAGTTTTAAATGGTGTTAAATCTATGTTAGCTAGACTATCAATGAAAATCTTGAAGCATTGGATGACCATTTCGTCAATAAATTCCCCCTCAAACATCATGGACCACACAATCTATCTATCTATCTATCTATCTATCTATCTATCTATCTATCTATCTATCTATCTATCTTTATATGATATCAGTTGTTTGTAAAACCTCAAACGTTTATCTATAACCATATTGTTAATGGCGCCATGAAATTCACCCATCGTTTTACTAATAATATCCAATATTCTACACGACACATAGCAAGTTTTTTTTCTTCAAAAGTCTAAGGAAAAGTTAAATTAAAACATGAATTATTTAGTTAATATTTATCTAATCACTGTTACTAAAATAACAATTTTCAAACAAATAACATCATTTTAAGGGATGTACTGTAGGACAAGTAAAATAACACAGAGTATTAGTTATACCGTTCATCAAATTTGATCGTCTTTACGTTAGGAGATCGATCATTAGTTGTCTAATGATTAAACACGTCTTGCTAAAGTCAAGGATAATCAAAACAGGTAGAGAAAGCTAAGGAAACCAATGATCTTATGCAGTAGTAAGGCCATAAACTGTACTTCTCCAATCTTTTGTACCTTATATAAGATGTTAGTCTGATAAGCTTCTGTTTACTTCGAAGTGTCCCATGAAAGCAGGACTGTCTCACCATCAGGTTAGCACAAACCAGATCAAATGGTTATTAAATATTGAGACTTACATGTAGGACTACGAAAGCTAGGCAGTCACACTGTTATCGTTCAGCTTTAGTAGACGATAACACATGAACTACGTAAACTGTGGTCCCAAATCCCGGGAAATCGGATAATTTAACTGTTACATATATAAAGTAGTTTATAGCTAAAGTGATATGTCTGAACAAAGAACAATGATCACTGACCACTCTATCCAAATTCATAAGTGGTAACTTCCGACACAATAGTAACAAACAATTTTGTTTCCAATCTTCGAAAGAAAAAAACGGGTTTGTCTAATTAACACAAAACATATATTTCCATGATGCAACAGATGGTTGTGTAATTTAGTGGATTGACTGAAATTAGACTTGTACAACATTGGATCCCAGTTCACTGGTTTATAGGTTGAATGTTCGCGTACGAGGCTGAAAGTCTTGGGTTCGATTACCTGTGGAAAGGGAATTGTAGTTGTACACTGCTGATGAGTCCCATACTGAGGCTAAATAAGTGTCTATTGATATGGAGTTTTCAGTGGTTGTCTAACTTGGATCGGTTCAGGGTTTCAAGATGTTCTAAAAGTTTTACAATCGTCACAAAATCCTATACTGATAATTAATTTTTTATATCATGATTCTGAACTGATCTACATATGGTTTACGACAATAAAATAATACCAACTGAGTGGCAGTGTTACATAATGTCACATATAATTTAATCAGTGATGATGAAAAGTCCCGTGTAATTAACTAAGTGATTAGAAAAAAGGACATGGTGACTGTAATAAGCAAAGGAATTGTTTTGCAAAAATAGCAAACATGTAATAAAGTGGTTATTAGTTTAAATAAAAAAAGAGTTGACAGAATCTTTTGATATAATCAGAAGAGGTTTTGTGGAGATTTTAGAAATTTCACTGATTGAAATCATGATTCATTTGAAGCTAGACCACCATGGAAAACCTGGAAGCACTGGACGGCCGTTTAGTCCTAGTATGGGACTCCTCATCAGTGCGCATCCACGATCCCGCACCCCGCGAGATTCCAACCCACCACCTATCAGTCTCGTGCCAGGCGCTTAACCAACTAGACTACTGAGCCGGCTTCCGACGGTGTTAATGTCTAACTTCAACCAATCCACGAAGTTGAGCCACCGTACACCATTGTCTTCAGTGAGTTGATATCTCACAATAAACCTAGTTGAACTCCACTGGTAACGGCTTCTCACTAGAACTCCAGGAGTACCTATTGAAGTCAGTCACTAGTGAAGTTTTGATATAAGATATAAATACTTGACTAATAGTTTTAGTGGCCCATTATCTGTCTACAATTATGTCATATGATTGTTTGCCATTGAAATATACATATCGTCAATGGTCGTATATAATTATCGACTTAATCCACGTTAGTGAATAACAGAATTAAATAAGTCAAATACAAGAATGAATGTTTGAATAAGTATATTTTGTACCCTCATTGATAGGAACAGACAATCAGAGAATCGCAGCGAATGAAACGAAGAAGAGAAAGCGAAGCGAAACGAAATGAAAGAACGCGCAGTGGAGAAGTTGTGTGAGCCAACTCGATTTAACCAAGCGTTAAACAATATTTATAGTCACACAAAAATGAGCTACAGATATGTGATTAGTAGAATAAGAATTGTACATACATACACTCATATAAAAATAGTCAAGGTTGATAAGTGAATAATTAACAAAGTCAAAACGTGATTCAAAAAGAATGGATAAATTGACCTTTCCAGCAGCTAGAATAAACTATGTGGGCTCGATATAGGACCAGTCACTATATAGCCCCCTTGTAGAAAATAGCACATTTATTTTAAAATATCTGTTTTCGAAAATAACACGAAAGTGGTATGTGGTTAATGTTAACAATAAGTAACGAAAAACATTGTACTACACTCGATAAAGTACAATGTCACATGAGGCGTGAGTGTATTATATGAAAGTGTCATACTTATGTAAAAAGAATACATAAATATCGTAAAGGTACCGACAAAAAATGGTAATGTTAGCATGTGATTATGAGCAATTTAATAAGCGTACAATCAGAATGAGTTTTGTGGAGATTTTAGTAAATTTCACAAGTTGAAATCATGAGTCAGTTGAAGCTAGACCACCATTGAAAACCTGGAAGCATTGGACGGCCGTTTCGTCCTAGTATGGGACTCCTCAGCAGTACGCGTACAATCATTTAACATGCATTTATGTTGTGACTATCTGGACGATAAAATGAACGATTCAAAATACCATGAAAATGGTAATAAATCGTTTATAGGTTATTACAACTTAATAAATCGTCAACATAAATAGAATAGAATATAATAGAAATTGGTCTGTGATGCTGATAGAATAGTGAAATATGAACATGTCCTGATGAGCCTCAGTAAAGTAAATAGCGCCGATTAACAATGAGTGAATTCGAATTTACATACATAGAGTTCTAATTCTTAGGATAAGAGTAGTAAATTCGTGAAACGATAACTGCATCAACGGGTGTTATTCGTTGCTATACTGTAATTGATAATAATCGTAAAATGAGAAGTCAGTATACGTTGTTGTTTGCTTTATGATATATGCGTCGAGTTATCATTGAACATGTATTAATAGAATGACCAGAGGAACAGGATAATTACTAGGAGACGAGATAAGCCGAGTCGTATTCCTTTTCGGTCGTGAAGCCTAGTGTAGTTTTTTTCGTTAGACGGAGATGCTCTCGACATCGTTTTTACGGAACTGTACTAAGCCGTGCTAAGAAAAACCAATATATATGACTATCGGCGCCAGTGAGTGAGACTGACTTGGATGTGACGATTAAGAGTGCATCATTGAGAGACCAGCTCTAAACTCTATGTTCTGGTATACAGTGCTATGGAAATAAAATAGTAAGTGCAGTAATCAAGTAATATTTTTGCATAGTGAATGATACAGCATGCAGTTGTATATGTGGACGAATAGATAAGATGAACGTAAACGTTACCAACTAGCTAGTAATGAGGAGTCGACTACTTGTTGTGTGTATAGACATTAAAGTAAGGATCATAGACTAAAGAAAAAATGATTGAAGTTCAGTTTAGATTATAGTTGAAAAAGTAGAGAACGACGATTGCTGCGTACAAATGCGGTGAGTGAACTTTAGTTGCATATCATAGACATAAGTTCCTACTGTCGGAAGTATGACTCCAAACTTATGTTCCTAACAGCTACCCGTGTTGGGGTAGTTGCCATCGTGCCGTTATCAGCATGCAGGAGATTCGCTCTACTGCATAGACTGAAGGT